GGACTGTAGTGGGCTGGTACAGGCATTAAGGCCCTGATCAATGCGGGCTGCCACCTAGCTAGCTGCGTGACCTTAGGCAGATGAGCCACACTCCTGAAGGCTGTCTCCCCAGCTCCCAATGGCAGCACCTGCTTCAAGGTTAAATACGATAAGCCACCGTTCTAGTCATACGGTGGTGGCCACGGCAGCTCTCCTGGTCACTGTGCCTTCTCTGAGGCCATGGTGTGGCAAGCCCAGGTAGAAAGGAGAGATGTGAGCACAGCACTGCCATTCCAGCCTCCTGAAACATGCACTCTGGCTCAGCCCTGGCGTGTGCTGGCCTCTCAGCAGACAGCCTTACTGCTGTCCCTTGAGCGAAGGCTCCCAGCCAGTCTTGCCCCCTCGGGACACAGCTATAGGACGAATGATGGCAGGAAACATCTGGAAAAGTTCCCTACCCTCTCTCCTCCCCACTGAGCCCAGCCCTTGCTGAAGAGGAGGAAACATAGGCATTCACGGTAGTGTTTAAAAACAACCACAAGCGCTCCCGAAGTTAGTCATCACTAACAAGATCCAAGTGCTGCCCTAAGCACTCACATGTCCCCACACCTTGCCCTGTCTTTTAGAGTAGGAAACAAGGCAAGAGAAGGGCAGGCAGGAGCAGGTGGAAAGGTGTGTGGTGTGGAAAGGTGTGTTGCCCTTCCCCTTCCCTCTGCTGACCTCCGCAATATGCCAGGCAAGCTGGTATGCCTGGTGCTTATGTGCCGAGGTCACTGAGGTCTCCACGTGACACATCCTGTATTCCACAGCGAATCTCACTGGACCTTTGGGAGCACTAAGACTTACTACATGGCAAAGACCAATCCCGGAGCACTCAACAGGCCCCAGAGTAAGTGTTGGGAGTGGCTGAAGCTGGAAATTAATCACGCATGGAGGACGAAGCCAGTCCAAGCACACGGGGACCTCCTTGAACTGCATAAACAAGCTGTTGCAGTTTGTGGACTGATTGCTGGGTAGAGAGCTTGAGATTCACATTACGCTCTCCAGGGTATAAATAACATTCTACTATTCTTAGACGGTTCTCTTCTGCTCAGGAGAAATGACCTCACTGGTCGCAGCTCTTGTCTATCTTGTCCTCACACCCACTGCCTTTTTCCCTGGGGAACACTGAGAGCCCAAAGGAGATGAGACATTTGGTGTCTTAACAGGGACACCCAGCAGGAAAAAGTGGGTGGCGGGAATGATTGTCAAGTGTGTGCGACACTGGAGAGAAGTGATTGGTTAGAGCCAATGTTCAGTGCAGGCGTGCACGGTATTGGCACCTCAGGCACAAAGACGGGAGCATATATGTTACTGACTTTTCACATGGTGTCACTGATTCGGGCTATACAAAACATTCCATTACTCAAAACATCACTTCTGCATCCCAGATTCTTGTATTGCTGAATTTGTCATACTTCCCATGATAAAAATTAATAAAAAATATAAATAAAAAGGGATCCAAAGGCTTTGGGTCATTTGACACCTACTGGGTTCAACAGACTAAACAAAACTGCCCCAAGATGAAATGGTCTATCGAAGGAAAAATATTTAAAGGACTTTTGGACATAGGCACAGATGTTTCAGGTACTGTGCGGCACCACTGGCTTGAAGCATGCAGCCCCACGGGGGCAGGCAATGTTCCTCACCCTAGTAAAAGCATTAAGTAGCTAACCTGAAAGGATGCAAACTAGGACAACTTCTTCATGTCCTGGTCACCTGAAGGATGCAAACTAGGACAACTTCTTCATGTCCGGGTCACCTTACCCAGCAAAGACAAAAAAGGATGCTACAAGGAGCTACTGTTTGTGCCTGCCAAGGAGCAGCCACGTTTGCACACTCTTAGTCCCCTAACGCAGCGGCTCTGGCCAGTAGCTAAGTGGAGACGACTCCCTCCCACAGCAGCCTGAGCCTGCAGCTGGACTCCTTTTCTCGTTAGATATGCACTGTACATCTTAGAGAGTTTTTAGAGGTAATTAATTCAGCAAGCCAGGCTCACATATGAGCATTCCAAGAGTCTTTGTGTGTCTTCTCCCAGACACTGCACTGCTCTTTTTAAGAGGGATCCTAAAAATGTCCTATGAATGATTTCTCTGAAAGCAGAAATTACAACACTGACGATTAGTCTGCAATGTAAGTGAGAAATCACGAAAGCAGCCACACTGCCCTGATGCTTGCTGATGAAACGGCCTGAAATCCTAGAAATCCCAAGCCACCTTCCGTGTTTAGTCACAATAGGAAACTAAACGTGTATGGAGACAATGCAGAAGTGCACTCCAGAAGTGATGAGGTGACTGTAAAAACAATTCCCAGGAATTAGTTTGGAGGGTCCCACCTAGTACTCCTGAGTAAAAACATCTTTCTGATGACAGCAGCAATATTCTTATTTATATGACAGGACATGGTGGAAATGGTTTCTTGAAATTTCAAGATTCTGAAAGAACTACCAACACAGAACTGTTGAACAGATGTGGCAATTACCCCAAACCTTCAGATCAATCTTAAATGATCTTCCGACTTGGTAATACTAAGTGGCTCCGCCCAGCTTTGGGGCTAATTTCTCTGGTGCTACTTTCATCATCCTTCCGACAAGTTAATTGAATCGGCTTCTGTTCTCACAAATGGATTATCTTTAGGTAAGGGAGGCTAAATGAGAGCTTCTTCCTCCAAAATACAGGGTACAGGTTTCTTACCATATGAAAATTCAATTACGAAAACAAAGGAGGGAGGGTTTCCCTGTAAGATTCACACCTAATAGACTTCACTTGGCACTATATACTATTATTTTTGTTAAATCCTACAAAAGATAAAAGTACAGCAGCAGAAAGACAATTCAATCAGGTAAAGCAAAAAAAGCTAATTTGGGGTGAAGAACATGTTTGTGTTTTGATGAACATGCTATCTGGCTGTATCATGAATCCAGATCTGAGAAGAAGCTGACAACAATGAGGCTAGATCCAACCTGGGGCCTATGGAAGGAAGTGACCTGGAATGTTCAGGAGAGGACAACCGAAATGGGAACAGAAGATCTGAACAGGTGATAGAGTATATAGAGATAACTGATCTGAGAGTTACCAGTATCCTTAAAACAAAATATAAATGTCTATTAATTATAGATAAAAGGTTCTACTTGTTCCATTTTTTATGAAATCTCTAATTCACAAACAACAAAATCTAATTAGTCTATTTATAATTATAAATCCCTAAACTTATAATAGAGTCACTATAATTTGATCAAAAATGTATTTCAGTGTACTCTGGTTTTGTAAGATGTTTGTTCTGTGCCTTTCTTTACTAGTTTCTCCATCATTTATTTGAGATAGGCAATTTTTCTTTTATCATTTTTTTATAATATATTTGGGGTATATACTTAAAAACATGCTTTCACCTGAGATACCATCTGGCCTAGGTGATATCAAAATTGGCTTTCTCACAGCTCACTGAAAAAGTAATATATTTAACAACAATTTCTAAGGGCGGGAGAGATTAATTAGCAGGACTCCAATTGGTGAAGAGTGGAACAGCCAACCTTTGTTTACTAATAAAGCTTGACAGTCTCTTGGGAGATATCCCCAATAATTTGGTCACTGGTCGAAAGATAAAGTGTTTTAGAGAAAAAGAAGAAAAAACACTAAGTAAAATAAGGTTTTCTCACAAAAGGTGCTCTTAGTATGAAACTAAATTAAGAAACAAAGGTTTTCACGCGGGTACGGCAAGTCACTAGTGTCAATCTCATGGTGTACCAAATGCACTCGTGATTCTGGGAAACCTGTACACCCAGACTTTCACATTCAGACCTCTGCCTTTAACAAAAACTTCTGTGACGTATATCCCATTAAGGGACAACAAATTAGGTGTAAGTTTCTTGTGTATTAGAGATGATTTAGTTAAGAGTTATGTCAAAAAGAAAATTTAGGTTACAAATGTAATCATGATTGTCATGCTTATATGTTATATATGGTTTTTTTTTAAATTTTTTATTTATTTGTGTGTGTGTGTGTGTGTGTGTGTGTGTGGCCAGCTCAGCCCACCAGGGGGCGGGGCTGGCTGGCATGTGGTGCTGGGGATTGAACCGCGGTCCCTGTGCTTTAGTTAAGCTTGTTCTAAGTAGGTGCTCTAGACCACCGAGCCATCTCACCAGCCCTATATATGGTTTTGATTTCTAATTTCTATGTAAAAATATGTTGTCTGTTAACATTCTATAGGGATGCCGGGAGATGGCTCAGTGGAATAAGTGCTTCCCTGGCAAGCGCAAGAGCCTGAGTTCAATCCCCGGTTCTGCAAAAAAAACCCAAACCAAAACAAAAAGAAACATTCTATAGGAATCCAAATATTATATCCCTGGTTAGAAAAGAAACATTGTTCCCATTTTATGTTCTAAGGTGTTTGATATCAGATAAGATAGTAATATTAAGCTTATTGGCTCCTTTACAATGTCATTTTTCTTTTCTTCTGGACATTTAACAACTGAGTTTTGGAGACCCAAAAATTGGTAATGTAAATGGACTAAGAGGATAGCCAATATTTTGGCCCTAGCACTCCAAGGTCAAGGAGGATCCAGGATATAAGAGAACCTCTGTTGTGACATCCTATAACTTGCTTGAGTCCCTGATCTTCTGATCAAACAGATTGTGGAGACATAGAAGGGAGTGATTCAACTAGGTACAGTGTGCCTAAGGAGAGGCACCAGGAAAGAAAAACGTCTCTCAAGCTTTCACAGAAAGCAATGTGGTCAAGCAATGGCTGTGACTCATCCAGATGGCTCACCCTAACAGAAGATCTAAGAGGTGCTGTACTTGGTTCCAAGGTAAATCCTGAGGAGACTTAATTGATAGATGGCGAACATGATTACATAGAAAGTTGGGGTCTGTGGTACTCTGTTATGGACATTTAGGTCTGGCACAGAGGAGAAAGTGCAAATGCACTGTGTATGACGCATGGGTGTGGGGTAAAACAGACATAACTTCGCCACCTGAACTTACCAGTGCAAATCTGTGTCCAAAGCTTATCCACTCCTTTTCTATGAGAACTTGGAATCCTTTAATGGTCCGGTAGTAACTGTCCAGCATCAGCATGGCCAGCGATGTGAGCTGGGCTGTTCGGTCCCAGCCATCACTGCAGTGCACCACCACAGAGGTCTTCCCAGATTCTATTTTATCAGCGATTCTTACTGCCCCGGCAAGAAGCATCTTCAGAGAAGAAGGCACAACAGAAAAGGCTGTGGTCAATTTCAAGTACTAACTGAAATACTTCTAGGGAGAACTTTGGAAGCCCTAGTCCATAAACCAAATGAAAATGCTATGCAGGGGCTAGGGGTGTAGCTCAGTGGTAGAGCACTTGTCCAGTACTTATCAGGCCCTAGGTTCCATTCCCAAGACTGCAAAAAAAAAGAAAAAATTACCATGTGATCAATTGAGAATAAGAAATGTTAGCATTATGAAAAATTTACAGAATACTCATACTAAGACAAACGACAAGAGTAAACAGGGACCTTTACTGAAGAGCCACAAAGTTCTCTTAAAAATTTGACCTGAGTCAAGTATTGTCCCTTGATTATGTCACAAAAGCTGGCCACAAAGACCACAGTCATAGGAGCCACCACAGCCACTAAGAAAGCACACATACATAATAGCAAAGATGCACATCTTTGTCATGCTGAGAGATTACTTAGAGATACAGACATTTATGCCACAGATGGAGGGAGGGCCTGACGGCAAGGCAGAAGATGACTAGACCTGTTACCCTTATATATTCCAGCCAGTGCGTCGAGTCCACGTTGGACAGCCACCGCGCCTCATCAATGGAAGGGTACACAATCTCCTTTAACTTCCGCAGCGACTCTCTCATCACATGAATGTTGTGGATTTCCAGAAACATGAGTTCTGCATTTGGGTAAGCACTTTCACTTTCATATCCTCCACCCTTTGCCTGAGGAGAGCGAGATACACATCATCCCACCTGGAATTGGTTTTTCCCTTGTTTCCGGTGCTGCCAGGCATAGGCCACCAAAGCAGCAGGAAATGCATCTGTTGGAAAATCTCCTCTATCCTTGAACTGTGTTCAAGGGCTCCTGGAATGAAGTCTTATGAACAGATTTGGTAGCTGAAAAATAATAGACTTATCACCCCGCTATCAGGAAGGAAGGAAGTTTGCAACCGAGGTGCTGGCAGGCCACGCTCCATTTGAAGCCTTCAGGGAGGATCCTCCTTGGGTTTCCCAGCTCTTGGCAGTGCCAGGCATTGCTGGGTACAGCCCCATCATGCTAACCTCTGCCTCCATTTCCACCTCACTTTCTCCCCTCTGCTTGTATCTCTGCCTCCTCTTTCTTTTTATAAAGACACCCTTTCCCACCCACTTAGGGCCCGCCCTAGTCCAATATGACCTCATCTGAACTGGATTACATTTGCAAAGACCCTATTGTGAAATAAGGCCACCTTCACAGGTATGTGGAGTGAACACTTCAACACATCTTCTCTCTGTGGACACAAATCAAATCATAACACTCTTCATTCATCTTTCTCAATTTCTAAACCACTAACAACCAGTTCTCACTCAAAAAGAATTAGGTTTCAACAGCTCTATTCTGTTAGTGCCATCCATCGGATGAGAAAAGTTGTAGTACCACGAAATGTCTGCATACAAAGCAATTTGGAGGTCTCAGACTAGGAAATTTATCTAAGTTATTTAAGTAAAACAAAACGGTGTTATGAAAAGAAGGAATATAGCTTTTTCTTTGGTAATCTCCTAACAAAGTCTAATCTACAATTAGCTTACACTGTATAGAGATCAACATTCAGAACGCATCTGTGATGAGGCTGTAGAGAAAATGAACAGTATTATATTGTTAATGAGAAGATAAAATAGTACAGCTGCTGCGTGGAAGACAGTCTGCTGGTTCCTCCAGAAGAATTTCATATAATATAGCCATTCCACTGCTGGGAAAACATCTTGCAGAGTCTAGGACAGGGATTGTAACTAAAACTTGTACACAAACATTCATAGCAGCACCATTCAAAATAGTCAAAAAGAAAAATGTTTCAAATATCCACCAACAGATAGATGAACAGCACATGGTCTCCTGTGCAATGCCACATTATGTGAGCATCAGAAGGAATGGTACTAATGCTGAAACAAGGAGCACCCTTGAAAACAAGTGAAAGCAGCCAGATGTAGAAGATCACACATTACGGGACCCCACCTATACGAAGTGTCCAGAGTGGGGAACGCACAGAGATAAAGGTTGGTTAGTGGTGTCTGGGGCTGGAGGAGGAAATGACTCATGGGTATGGAGTCTACATATGAGGTGTTGAGAACGCTCTGGAGTTAGACACTGATGCTAATTTCTTAACATTATGCATGCGTTTGGAGTATATGGATTGTAAACTATGCAGTGGCTAAAATGGTGAGCTTTATGTTACCTGAATTTGATTCCAATAAATGCATAAACAAACAAAAGAACACATCTACGGACCTGAAGATACACTCTCATTTGGTCCCATATTATTTACCAAGTGAGTATGAATGCCCAGCTCTGAGCTAAAGCTAGGGACAAGAACGGTGATGACCAAGAATGCTAGCCCCCACAGTCTACTATTGGGAGGGGGGCTGAAAGCAGCACAGGGCTGCAGGGCTTGGATGCAGGAGGGCATGGCCAGGACTGGTTGACCAGAAGGGAAGGACACATAAGTAAGGGTAGAAAGGGTGATAACAGCCAGGAAAAGGGAACACAGAGATGGATGAGGACATGGCTTTCTGACAGGAGCCTAAGACATTCAGCAGAGAGAAGTCGAGGGCAGTGGTAAACAATGATGAATGATGAGGCCAGAGAACATGGCGGGGCCAGACATCAAGACTAAAGAGAATTAGCCTCTCTATTGAGGAGTCCCAGCCACCCTGCGGAGGAGGGGCTGGTGGAAGGGGGACCTTCAGTAGGTGACCAGCACAGTCATGGGCAGTCATCTGCTGATGCACAATGGTGCAGGTAGCAGGGCACAAGGACACAGGTGACTTGGCATCTTTCAAAGACAAGACCCAGTGGTTGACCAGAACTATAGACAGGTTGGGCAATGCCCCTGGCTCTGTGCTGGGCCATGTGAGAGACTGAAGAAGCAGCAGGTTGTACAGGGAGATGGTTTGGTTGTGAGGACAATGGGCAGTAGCCAATGTATAGGCCTCAGAGTGGTCAGAGCTGTGGGTGTCAGTGTGGAGGTGACTGGCATATGATGGATGATAAATGGAAGACAGACAGGTGACCAGGTGTGGTAAGGTCCCAAGCTGGCAGGAAGGGCAGCAGGAGAACCTCTTCCACGATCATGGGAGGCAGGCTGGGGAAGAAGCTTCTCTCTGACCATCTGTTCTCTGCCAAGAAGGAAGTAGATAAGGGATGGGGCAGGGCCACATATCAGCAGAGTCACAAACACGTTGACATGGCCTTGTGGAGCACAGAAGGGCTGCCGGGGACATGGGAGGGCAGCCCATGGGGCCTGGCTGGGGCTGTAGCCCGTGATGTGCACCCTGTGAGCCTTTGTGCAGAAGGCACCGCAGCCGGGCTGTGGGCACGAGAAAGGCGGGTGGCCTGAGGGGAGCGGGACAGGGATGACCTACTGCATGGCAGTGATCGCGGAGCACACGTGCCACAGCTGGCTGTTTGCTACCACCTCTGACATACTGCATACCATGCTGTGCACCAGGCCGCAGAAGCAGCCCAGAGTCAGCGGCCTGTAGTGAGGAAGCCCTGCGAGGTGTCAAGCTGGGCCCACGGGGGGATCCAGCGTTTTGACACACAGATGAGTGTGCTAAGAGCTGAAGTCCGTCAAGCAGTAGGTCATATTGAGAGACCATTTTCTGTCAGGAAACTGATCACAAAAGAACAAATGAGAAAAATGATCATCAAACAATGAGGTGAGGGAGTCAAATGAGCATTACATGCCAATTCCACACCAGCCTGCAAAGAACAGCGTCCCGGACATTACCAGACACAAGAGAAAGTGGCCACGGAAGGACCACACCTATACCCAGGCAGGAGCGGGAGGGCAAGATTCAGAGGGCTCTGGAAAACAACTTTCTGGCCATACCTCTCTCTACAGGAGGAAAGTAAGATTCCTGAGAGAAGTCAGTGACACAAATGTTACCATCTTTACTCAAGTCCCCAAGAAGAAGCTGACAGCAGTGGTAGTGGGGCCATTGCCAACCTTGTGCAAAAAGAAAAGCGAGTACTGTTGGGAAGCACTGTTGGAAGGGAGTGCTCAGGCTGCCCGATCTCAGCCCAGCCTTTCTGCAGATGGAGGCCTGCCACAGGCCAGGCACTGTAACAAGCTCTCTGTCTCCAGCATGCCCATCAGCTGCAGTGGGTGGGCTCCAGGGGAGGACTGTGGAGGTGTGCAGGGCATGGCACGCTAACGATCTAGCAGACTCCAAGGGCTGCACACCACTGGCCCCTCCTCCCTCTTTTCTTCCTCTTCCTAGCTTCCAGGACCCTCTCTCCCTCCCAGGCTCTCCCGACCCCAGCCTCATACCATCAGCCACTCTTCCCTTACTGACCTTCTGTTTCCCTGCAAAGACCTTGCTCCAGAACTTGTCTCCTCCCCATCCCCCAAGGCTGCAACCACCACCAGACAGTCTCAACTGTAGGCCTGACCTCACTTCACATTCCACAGCCCTAGCCTCCCCACACTGGTGCCTCAGATGCAGAGCTCCTGCCCTCCACATGCCAGGTTCTGAGAAGGACATCTCCCTTAAAGGCTTTGGGTGCTGCCACTATCTCTCTCGTGGAGCAGGTGGTTTTCAATGGAACAGCCCATGCCACTCACCAACAGGTCTTTTCCTCATCAACAGTCTATGGAGAAATGACCATGGCTACTGCCAGCCAGCCTCTGTCTCAGTCCCAGGACAGCCACTCATGGGCCCAGCCCAGCTGTAATCCATTGTATGAAGCCAGTAGTGTCTTGATACCAAACTAGACAAAGATACCACTAGGAAATGACAGGCCTGTATTCCTGAAGAATGCAAATCAACAGAATACCAGCAAAGCAAATCCAGCAGCACACTAAGGATACCATTCACCATGACCAGGTGGGATTTACAGCAAGAACATAAGTGGATTAAATTAGCTTCCCAGGGCTGCTGTCACACAGTTATCACATGTTTCCAGCCATATACATCACTACAATAGAAATCAATGCAGACAGGCAATTTGGTGTCTGACTTCTGAGCACAATAAAACACAGTGAAGTGCCTTTGCTCTACTCTATGTTTAGAAGATTGCCTCCAGGAATAGTACTTTTCTCACATTTTGTTTGTAATTCCTTGGCATAATACTGCATACCTCACTGGTGACAGGAAGGATAAAAGATGCACAAAACCTGACTTAGCTAATGACCCACAGCATGCAAGGTAGCAGGCTTCCTGTTGAAGGATGCCTCCCTGTGGGAGCTGAAAAGGTAGACCCACCAGAGAAGTCCATGTTAATCCCTGGCAACTGTGAATGTGACCTCAAGTTAAGGATCATGAGATGACAGGATAATCCTGGATTACCTCAAGTGGGCCCTAAATGCCATCCCAAGTATCCTTAGAAGAGACAGAGGAGCAGACACAGAAATCAGGAGGGGGACAAGGACGAGGAGGAGGAGGAGGAGGAAAAGAGGCTACAGGAAGACAGACAGATGTAGCGATTACTGCAATGTGGCTGTATGGCCAAGAACGCTGGCATGGTCATCAGAAACTGGAAGAAGCGAGCAGCAGTCTCTCCTGGAGCTCTCTGAAGGTGCACAGCCCTGGCAAATGTGGGACTACTGGCCTCCCACACTGTGACAGAATACATTTCTGCTGCTGGAAATAAGATTTGCATGCAAGGCCCAGGAAATCAAGACCCCCCCCCCCCGTTGCCTGTTCTGTTCCTCTCCCAGGCTCCTGCACTGCAGTAAGTGACCCCACTACTCACCAGGTCTGACACCTAGTCGGCCACCTCAACCAGTGGGGATTATAGGCATGTCAGTACCAAGTACTGAGGGCTGGCGGCACGCCCCCCACAAGCTGAGTTCTTATGTGCACTATTTTTCCTTCACTTTAATCGCATAGAAGGCTTGAGACAAAACACCAGTGCTACCTCCCATTTTGCAGAATCGGGAACCTGAGGATTAGATAGGGGTTAAGTAACTTGCCCCGAGTTCTACAGGGCACCAACTGGGAGCCTGGAGAAAAGCCCAGGTGTACCTGAGTCCAAAGCCAAGAATGCTGCCTACTCCAGCACACTGACTCCTAGGGTGGTGGAGCTTGCTGCGCTCCTGTGCCTTGAGACATGGCCAAGTGGGAACAGCAAGTACATATCAGGAAGGGTACAAGCTGCGGTGCCAAACGCAAGGCACACTCAGCATACGGACAGTGCTGAATGGCCTGGCTTCACAAGCCAGGATAGTCTGCAGAGACAGTGTGGAGTCGCAAAGGGATCTCAGACCAAGTTAAGAAGCAGCCCCAGAAAAGGGCGGCTGGGGAGGGGAATAGGAATCAGTCAAGGGGAGGCAGGAGGCTGGTGTTCTGGAGACTGCGGTCACTGATGGAGCGCTCACTGCGGAAAGAAAAGGAGCAGGCCAATGCGAGCCAGGCAGATGGTGAGCACTGCAGAGGGGCCCGTGACAGGGTAACGGCCAGGCCCGGAGTCACCCTTCATCCTGGAGATGGCACGGCCTGCCCCACTGTCACCCGGGCGCCCCCACTGCCGGGGATTCTCTGCCCATGTGTGCCTGCCGACCATGGCAGCCCCGCTCAGTGCCACGTGCTCTGTGCAGTGCCCCAGCGCTGAGCTCGCATTGCGTCCTTGTGGCACCTCACCTCGCCTGGCTCTGCGTGTCCTAGCACCCTGGCACTGCAGGTATTCACTGGATGCGTACTACTCAGCGGTTGCTAGAGATGCAGGCGTGAGGTGGCAAGCGCTGTTGCCACCTTCCCTGTCCTGAAATTGCTGGAGAGGACAAGGCTCTCTGACTGCCAACTGCCTGCCTACAGCAGCATACTCTCCCAAAGCCATCTGTAGTACAAAGAAGCGCCTCAAATCAGAACTTCCTGTTTGGATAGCAAGACTTCAGGTCTGAGTGCAAAGCCTGCACTTGGTACGAAGCACGCGAACACCATCGGGGGGACCAAATGCGAGCTGTACTGTCTCCTCCTGTGTGCCAGCACTGCTTCTTGGGGACTGCAATCGCTTCACTAAAATACTTAATCTCAGATAATTCTCTGAGTCTTTGCTTAATGGACACGACAGGCAGGACTGTAGAAAAGCAGAAAAGAGCCCACAGAGACAAACCAGGGAGGGTACAGCCCTGGACTACTCCGGAAGTCCCTAACTTTAGGTGGGGAGGAGCCCGCTGAGCTGTTAAAACACACAACTTACAAGAAGTGGATATGAGAGAGAGAGAGACAGCCTATCAAGAATGTACCTTGTTGGTATCAGCAACACTGTTTTGTCGGGCATCAAAGATGACAAGTTTGTGTGACTGCGCATTAGCATCCATTATTGTCTGCAGGTACTTTTCATCCTCTTTGCAGCGTTTGTCACTGGGGCCCACCAGCGGCTGGCTGCAGCGGGTAATTGTTGCCTGACTTTCTGGATGAATCCATGATAACACCTAGTGTTTGGAACCAACAGATATCAGTACAGTCCCCAAAGCAGTACCTGCTCAAATTACTTGCTAGGAAAAGCAGTTTCTCCTGAAGATTCTCTTCAAAGCTGAGAGTGGATAGACTGATCACAGCACCGCAGTGGCTAAGGGACTCGATGCTCTGCTCAGGCTGAAACATGTCTGACCAGGTATGTTCTCATTAAACGCTATGATTCTAGGCAAAATAAAACCTAAGCCAAACTATCACTAGATTCTATCCCTATTTCTATTTGATTGACTAGTCTTATCTTGTCTTAATTAAAAAATAACCTTTTATCTCCACAATGACACATCTGGCAGGGTAAAGACAAAGTGTATACACAGTCTCTTGTCAAATCTGAAACTCTGTCACCAAATCTCCCGTTTTCCTCCAGGGACCCAGTGCCTGAGGGTCATATCACACGCAAATGCTGGGCAAATCCTCCCCTCCCTGGTGCCCACAATTGTTTAACAGTGCTCGCCCATGCAGCTGTAGCACTCCACTCAGCAGGACGTGAATGTATTTTCTCTCGCGTGATTTGGTGCAAGCACTGATGGAAACTATTACTGCAACAGCATGCTCTTGGCTGCTGCTCCTTTTCTGTACTAGGATTCAAGAGCGTGACTTAGAAACAGGAAACGATATAAGGGTGAGATAGAGCAAAAGGGAATGTCGACATATTTCTTGCAAATCACAGGTAAGTCCAAGCTTATGTTCTGCGGCGTCTGTGTGAGACAAAGGCTCACTAACGCACTGTACAGACCCAACTGGCCTTTCACACACGGCGATCCACCTGCTTCTGCCTCCTGAGCTCTGGGATTCCAGCTGTGCCCCACCCACTGGCTCTCTTCAGGTTTCTAACTTTATCTTTCTACTTTTCATCTTGTTCACTGGACTTTTTGTTGGCACCTAGCCATACTAGATCTACTGAAGTACAACATTTAGTAACAATGTTTATGACTTACGGGGACTCTGCCTTTTGCTCGGAAGGCTGCCACTTTCGACAGGTCATCATCTTTTACACTGGTTGGCACAACAATGACTGCAGGGTAGGTGGCACAGAGCTCATAGTTGCTGTTTATTTTGGATATTTTCCAGCTCTCATTTGGCAAGCCCTGCAGAATGGTAGAGGAAAAAAGAAGAGGGGGAAACATGCTTTTCCATTTTGATAAAATATTAAGCATGAATCACATTCACTTCCTAATTTTGGCTGTAACTTAAAAAAAGTCTGTGTCAAGAAAATAAGAATGTGCTAGAAGAAGTGGAAAAGCTCACAACACTCCAAGGAGTTCCCAGGCTCAAGAACACAGCGTTCTATCACGACAGTCCCACCACAGTCCCTAAACTGAACCCAAGACAGGAGCTTGGGACCTTCGGCACCACAAGCAGACCATCTCACAGAAGCCCTCTGGAAGCCCCTCCTGGAAGCTGCTGGCCTCTAGCCCTCCGCGCCCTCTGGAAGCAGATGAACAACTATGACAAGAGTCAAAATGCTGGCATAGGAGAAGAGGGACCCAGAAGATAGAGACATTACGCCCATGCACAACTCGCTGAACGTTTCTTCTCCTCTTTCTAACTATTTAGAAGAGATAAAAGATGTTTAACTATTATTTTCAGTTCAATCAGCAACATACTTTACCTGTCTCTTATATTCAGCAACTGGATCATAACCTTTCCAGCCATTAACTGGAAATTTTTCTTTATAGCTGAATGCAAATAGTGCCTGGATACAAAAACCACAAAACACATGTCAGTATTTATCCTATTCCACATGCCAAATATGACAGCTGTTCTTTCTGATATGAGCTGAATGTTTTAAGATTCCTATTTTAATCTGCACATTTTAAAGTAAAAAATTGGTAGCTTTTCTTAATCATTATGGAAAACTGACAAAATTTAAATAGTTTAATACTAGTTAGCAACATAGAAAGAGAGATAAAGGAAACCTCTGGGAAAAAATGACTAAACATGAAGTTATAGAACCACCACAACTGCACTAAAACAAAAAATCTTTACTTTGGTATACTTGCCTGGCCATTGGAAAGAGGAAATGCATATTTATCGAAGTTCTCAAATATCCCAAGTTTGCGCTGTTCCTCCTGCTTATAAGCAAGTCGCAAGTTCCTCATATCCTAGTAAGCAATTAGCAAAACTCAGTTACTCGCCATGCATTGAGCATCTATGAGTCACATACAATGGCATAAGTAAAATATGTATTCATTTCTCAATTTATGTTCCTTTTCTTATTAACAAAAATATCTTTACTGAGATTTAAAAAAAATCAAGGAAACTGGAATAAAGAGGACATATATGGCAGAAAAATCTTAAGAGAGATCAAAGAATAAGGTTTGTACAAAAAAGCTCTGTTATCAAGCCCTGTGGATACACTTAGGGAAGGTATGCCTTGGAATTGGTTGTATACTGTAAGCTGCCAAAAGAGCCAACTTTAAAATTCACATGACCTATAAACAGAATGTGGTGAAGACTGCCAATCCAGAGAGGCCTCCGTATCGCATAGGGACTGGCGCCCTCAGCGACATCCTTACAGCAACCTCATGATGACAAAATGCCTCCTAAATGCAAGCTGATGGGAAAGTCCCAAGCACATGCAGGCCAAAATGATGTCACTCGGCAGAACCCCGGCAGTGATGTCTTCCCAAGTCAAGATTTTGAGCACTGCCCTGAGCCTTTTTAAGCATGCGTCCCCTATGAGTTAAACACAAAAACCTCAGTCTTCTTTAACATTATATGAAATTGGGACATAAATATGACCACAAATAAATTAAAGCAGCAGCAATTTGGGAAGTGAAGAGGTTGTTGTTGTGACAGTATTTATAACAGCAAATGAACAACTCAAATGTCCATCAGTAGGGGCTATAACACAGCCAATAGAATGCCAGAGATTTTAATATCAGAAGCAGCTCTGTATATACTGATATAAAGGAATTCCAAGATACATTGTCAAGGACAAATAGAAAGGAACAGAACAGTACTTATACTACCATTTACATTTTCAAAGAAAGAGTAGACATACATGGTTTTCTGCACAAGGTGGTCTGCGAAGGCGTACATTAGGAATTAAGAAGTGTACTGCCTGCAGAGAGTATGACAGGGTGGCTGGGAGTTGGGACAGTGCTTTTTACTATCTATAGCTTTTGTACCCTCCAACTGTGTGCCACCTGTTAAAAAGTATACCCACACCTTATAAGACTCTTAGGCATGAGCCAAAGGGCCAGGAGCCTAACCTTAGTACCTCTAGGCCAGACAACATTTATATCAGCTGTCAGAAAATGCCCATCCTAACCATAAAAACATCCTAGTCAAACAGCCACAGGACACCTTCAAGAGCAGCGTAATTTCCTGCTGCACCCTCCATCCAAGCTGTCCTGGCTATGTACACACTCCCTGTTAGGGCTTTCCTGCTTCGCATTTCTGGGGAGAACAGCATTCCAAGACACGAGGCCCATGTGAAGAGGTCTTGTATTTGGTGGTGTGCATGCTCGGCATGGATGAGAGGATGGGCATGAGGCAAATATGAACCCCAAAAGGAAGCAGGAGTGTGAGGCAAGGGTGAGGTGAGGCTGGCTCAGGAGCAGCTGCCAAGGAAAGCAGGCAAGCTTAGCCATGTGTGGTCAGCCCAAGGAGAATATAAAACACCTGAGAATGATGAAGAGGGGACTGACAGCTTTTCAAAATCGCAGAAGCAACCAAGTCAGCCCTGTGCGTGGCATTCTGTGGGTGCTGGCCATGTTCTGGATGTGCAATTCTGCCTGAGAAGAACAACTGCCACAGAGTACCAAAAGTTGGCCCAGTAAGGCAGCCGGCTCATGGCCTGGAAAACTTTGTAGGGCCAGCAGAGCAGAGTGCTCTTCAGGGATTTGATCATAGGAAACGGATGGCTGGGAATGCAAATGCTGGTGGAGGAGGAGCCCTGATGATTATGTAGGCAGATTTCTCTCCTGGTACGTTACATGGGTTTTTAGTAAACTCTATTACCTGAGGTAAAGTCACTTAGAATAAAACATTCATTCAAGGAGCTTCTTAAGTGACTACTTTTTTTTGGTCTTTTTGAGACAAGGTTTCACCATGCAGTTGAGGCTGGCCTTAAAGTCACTTTGTAGCCCAGGCTGGTCTCAAACTCACAACAATCCTCCTGCTTCAGCCTCCTGAGTGCTGGGATTACAGGTTGTGTCACCATGCCCAGCCTTAAGTGACTACTTTTTATTTTTTATTTTTTTTGGCGGAACCAGGGATTGAACTCAGGCCCTTGCGCTTGCCGGGGAAGCGCTTATTCCACTGAAGCCATCTCCCCGGCCCCTTAAGTGACTACTTTTTATGAAAATTATCACACACATTTCTGCTTAACTTGCTAGGGAAAGATATAAAATAAATAAGCATAGCTCAAAGTGAAAATTGTAACACAATCAAGAAACTTCAATGACAGGCTTTAAAGAACCTTGCTGCTTCTTTAGAAAGGCTCTGACCATTCATTGTTCTGAAAAGTAATCTTGAAACAACGAACTGGAAAACAGTACTGATCTCTGCTTTCCACTTGGTTTCCCAGGGATGTAACAAACGATGTGGGCATTCAGGCTACACACCATGTTAATCAGAAATACTTTAACAGAAAATTACATTAATGGAATCTATGATGGTGAGATCTGAAGGAGCTGCTGTCCTAAAAACAGCTGGATTAGGAAGAGTAAGAGTTACTGTTACTGTCAAAGAGCAGGAAGGCTAAGCCTCAGAAAGCTCCAAGCTGATCACCCCCTCAGGTTTACATGGGTTTAGAGTCTACCTTGCACACGATCTCTATGCCGCAAGAATTGTCTCCGTGGCTCTGTGCTCCAATCTTCTCAACTCTGCTGATCACTCCAAGGGGTACATCAAGGACAAAGTGTGGGTCCTAGGTTCAAAAATGCAGATTAACGCCACTCCAGGTCATTCCACAGAGTCTCCTTCCTTTAAGTCTCTGCTGGATTAGGAAACATGCGTCTACGGTGGCATTTGCTTCTTGTCCCAGCTAAGAAACTGAAGTCTGAGGTACAGCACACCTTATGACGTTTAGGCTGCGACTACGGCAAACCTCCCCTCCAGGTTTAACTAATAAGCTTTGTGCTTGCGTATAAAATATGCTTGCAAATACGTCACATCAAAACTCACCCTCTGGTTGTGTCCGTGATTGACTTGCAGGAGACTGTTTACTTTCTTTTCTACTGGTTCCAAATCATTTTTAAAAATAAAACACTAAACAAACTCACCCTCTCTACATTTTTGAAGTACATCTTAAAGTCCGTCACTGTCAGGGTTCCGCTCACTGCTCCCATAAATGGGCAGATATACATGACATCTTTCACTGAAAGAAAAATATCAAAGTAGCAACTGCTGCTGTAGACTTGTGACTCAATAAATCTTAGCATGAGTTTCCAAATATATATATATGTGTGTGTGTGTGTGTGTGTGTGTGAGTCTAGTCTTCTAGGAATTCATTAGAAATTTAAAGTTTCATCATTTAACAGTCTGGTTGGCTACCTAATGAGGCTTCAAGGAAAGGCCTCATACTAAGTTACATTTTGTCATTTTTTTCCCAAGCAGTTAACATTTTCCCTGGGTGGTAAATTAATCATATTCAAAACATTAATTAAGCTCTGTAAAGACACTGAACTGCCATTTCATAAATTACCGATACTTAAAACTAATGAATGCTAAACACTGTCCTCTAATGCACCTCCAAGGGAAACTGCTTTAGAGATGACAAAAATTACAAGCACATTAATAAAGTGGAAAAAGCCACATTTCAGGGCTGGGAGTTTGGCTTAGTGGGAGAGTACTTGGCTCACACACATGAACTCCTAGGTTCTATCTCCAGAACCAGGGAAAAAAAGAGATGTGTTTCAAATTGCTGATCAACTTCATTATTAATTTTAATTTTCATTTTGCTATAAAAATACAACATTTTAAATTCCCACAAGTATTAAAAAGATCATATCTAGCCAGATGTGGTGGTGCACACCTGGAATCCCAGCACCCTGGGAGGCTGAGGCACACAGACCGCAAGTTCCAGCCCAGCTTGGACATCTCAGCAACTTAATGAGACCTTGTCTCAAAGTAAAAAATAAAAATAGAAAGGGCTAGGGGTGTAGCTCAGCATGAAGGCCCTGAGTTCAAGCCCTAGTATTGCAAAATAAAGAAGCGGGGGGCTCATCCTACATCTTCACGACTTTCCCTAAGTGTCACTCCATTGGGATGATACAAGTATACATAGCTATAGCCGAGTCCAAGCAGGACAGTTAAAGGGAATAAAGTTTGTCATTTGCCCAAGTTCTCAAAACATTCTTATCACAGTTTTCTACAACTCATTACAAAGTGAGTGTCTTCAGTTAAAGGGTTCTGGGTACAAATAGGCATAATTCTCGGCTACAAGCAGCATGTCAGTCATCAATATACCACTGCCTGATAAACGCTATAAAGCAATGTGAACACCACGTGATGAAGCACAGAAAAGCAGCAACTTAACCCAATAGGGAGGCACATGGACAGGGAGTAAGAGAAAAGAGAGAGAAGGGGGTAGGAGAGACAGCAAGTTGTTCGAGCTTGGTATGGATGCACCAAAAGGGGAAGTGAGGAGAATGACACGAGGCTAGAGAGACTGGTAGGGAGAGGATCAAAACATGTTTCGGTGAGACATTAAACATTATTATTCTCCTATCCTTAAAAGACAACAGACTAAGCAAAACACTGAACCACTATAAAAATCAGTATGGAGACTCCTCAGAGAACTACAAATAGAAATTCCATTCAGCCTAGCTCTTCTCTTCTGGGCATCTTCCCAAGCAAGGAGATCATATTATGATGAGACATGCATACCCATAGCTAAACACTGGAAATAGCCTCCACGCCCATGAATAGATGAATGGATAAAGAAAATGTGGTGTTCACATACAATGGAGAACTATAGACAATGTGGTAGTTTATCACCAGAGTACTACACAGCCACAAAGGACAAATGTGAATCAGCTGTAGGAAAATGGATGCATCTTGAGACCATAATACTACATGAAATATATCGGACATAGAAGGTTCAGTATTGCATGGCTTCTCTTATATGAAAAACACAAAGTATAAATAATTTAAAGAGTAAAAAAAAGACAAGTGATAGGAAACAGGGAGGTAGGCCTTCTGCAGATGGGGTGGGGATTGAAGGATGGACAGAGGGAGGAGAAGGAATAGCAGAAAGGATTATGATTCAATATGTATATGTACATGCACAAAGAACATACTCATTATGTAGCACAAGCATGTAATAATGAGAAAACAAAGTCACAATACAAAAGCATAGTGCCAGGCCTATGACAGACGGAAATGTCAAATGGAAAACAGCAGCATAAGGCTAGGAGGGGAACGAACGCTAAGCATATAGTTGTCACCATCTTCTCCTACACACAAAGCAATGGAAAATCACTTGAAGGTAGACTGATAAGTTAAAGATATAAAGCAACCAGGAAAGGAATTATAGCTACTATGTAAACATAAAGATAAAATGGAATCACAAAAGTATTCAATTAAGCCGACAGATCTCAGAAAAAGAGAAAACAAATATCAAAGCAATGAAATTAAATCTAACTATATCAATATTTATATAACATGTAAATAATCTAAAAACCCAACTCAGATGTACAGATTATCAGATTAAAGACAAAAGCAAGACTCAACTACATATAGCAAAAAAAGGAAATCTACCTTAAATATAAGAGTAAAAGTAATTTGGAATTCAGAAGATGAAAATAGACATGTCACACTAATCCTAATTAAAAGAGCTAGTTGCAGTGGCACATGCCTTTAACTACAGCACTCTGGAGGCTGAGGCAGGAAGATCACCTTGAGTTCCAGGTTAGGCTTAGCTTCTTACTGAGTTTATGGTCACCCTGAAGTACACAGTGAGATCCTGTCTTAAAACACTAACTAAAAAAAAAAAAAAAAAAACACTAACTTAACTAAATAAATAAATGGGAAGCTATAACATCTATAAAAATATCAGATAAAAGTAGATTTCTGAGCAAAGAATATTGCCAGGAATAAAGGTCAGAACATACAATCATTCTAAGCATTTACATCCTAATACAAAATATCAAGATACAGTAGATGAAACAAAACTGATAGAACTACAATGAGAAAGAGACAAACCTACAACTATAATCACACTTTTGAAATACCTCACGTAATAACTGAGAGAAGAAGACAGAAATAAGGCAACAGAAGATTTGAATACCATTAAAAAACCACTTGTCAACCATATTTTATCAATCCCATCAATAACAGCAGGGTACATTCTTTTCAGGTGTACTCAGACAACTTACCCAGATAGACTATATTTTAGGCAATAATACAAGTCTTGATAAATATTAAAATATTAAAAGATGCAGAGGGGCTGGGGAGATGGCTCAGTGGACTAAGCACTTCCCTGGCAAGCGCAAGGGCCTGAGTTCAATCCCCAGTTCCGCAAAAAAAAAAAAAAAAAAGATGCAGACACAACTACAAACACACTAAGCCACCTTATCTTTGACAAAGGGGCAAATATGTTCACTGGAAGAAAGAAAGCCTCTTTAACAAACTGTGCTGGAGACACTGGCTTTCAATATGCTGAAAAATAAAACTAGATTAATGTCTATCACCATGCACTAAAGTAAAAATGGAATAAAGATTTAAATATTAAAACAGAAACACTAAATCTACTGGAAGAGAAAGTAGATAGATTTCTGGAAGACATAGGGGTAGGCAGAAAGTTCATGATCAAAAACCAAACTGCACGGGAAATACTTCAAAGCATCAACAACTGGGATCTCATCCTATTGAAAAGTTTTTGCATTTCAAATCACCAACAGTAAAAAGAAAACCTACAAGTTGGGAGAAAATCTTAGCCTGCGGTCCCTTATGCAAAGGACTTCTACCTAGAACATATAAAGAATTGAAAAAAAAAATCAGGCCCTCAAAATTAAACCCCAATCCAGAAATGGACATTTGAGATGAATACACACTTCTCAGAGGAAGAAATACAAATGGCAAATAAATACATGAAAAAAATGTTCCATAGTACTGGTGATTTGAGAAATGCACATTAAAACAACATTGAGATTCCCTCTCACCCTAGGAAGAAAGGCTGGTTATCAAGAAATCAATTAATAACAAATTCTGGAGAGGCTGTGGAGAAAAAGGAATCTGTCTCCACTGTCGATGGGAGTGTAGACTGGTACAAGGACTGTGGAAATAAGTGTCAAGATTCCTCAAAAAATCCTCCTCGGTATTTTTTCAGAAGAATCAATAACATCATACCACAGTTATACATGTGCACCCATGTTTACAGCAGCACAAATTGTCATTGTTAAATCTTGGAAACAACCAAAATGCCCATGTACTGAGGAATGCATAAAAAAAAAGATGTGTTGTTTTTATACAATGGACTACTACTGAGCTATAAAGAAAGATAAACTCAAGGCTTTTATAGGTAAATGGATACAACTAGAGGCTGTACTCATAAGTGAAATAAATCAGACCCACATGTGTAAACATCATATTGTCTCCCTAGTATAAGAACCTGAGGGCCGGCGAGACAGCTCAGTGGACTAAAGGGTTGGCTTCTAAAGCTTAGGCAAGCACAGGGACCGCGATTCAATCCCCAGCACCACATACCACACCAACTTCACCCTCAGGGTGGGCTGAGCCACTCAGCCTGAGTCCCTAGTGGTGGCATAATGGCGCATGCCTGTAATCCCATTGCTGGAGAGGCTGAAAACAAGAGGATCACTGTGAGTCCAAGCTGCATAGTGAGATCCTGTAACAACCAAATACATTTTTTAAAAAAGGATGAAATGCATACAGTTTTGTTAAAATTTCTCCCTTTATTTGGGGCTTCAGGGATGGCTCAGTAGAATAAGCACTTCCCTGGCAAGCACAAGGGCCTGAGTTCAATCCCCGGTTCTGCCGAGAGAGAGAGAGAGAGAGAGAGAGAGAGAGAGAGAAAAGAAAAAGAACCTGAAAGATTAAATAAAACCTAAAAGGTATAATAGATATAGTAAAAGAAAAGAAAATGCTCAAGAGGAGAGAACAATTGGGATGCGGGAAAGGAGAAAAGAAAAAAGGAATGGGGGCAAAAAGCATATATATATAGGATAACTAGGATAATTGTACTACTAATTTCTACTGTGTTTTTCAAAGAGTAAAAAGAAAAACAAAGGCAAAAACAAATAGGAAAAACTAAGAAACTAACATACAACAATACATATGGTACAGAATATCAAAACAAGAATAAAAAATTAACAGTGGTTGTTATATATTTTTATCATCAAATCCGTAGCTCAG